AAAAAGATTTAACAACGTACAAAGCCATGAAAGCAGAGATAGTATACCATTTCTCTTTAAAATATGATGGTTTGAAGCATACAAAAGCAGTAAAAGAAGCATTTTCGGTTGGTTTCCCCTATAATGCAAAACATGCAGGGAACATGAAGGAGAGCAGTAATGGCATTCCAGCCTCCAGTGATGAAAAGTAAAGATGGAATATGATAAGGAAAGTAAAGCATGATCCCTCCCACCTCCCCCTCTCCCTCCACCACTGAAAAAGAGTTGAAGCCAGAATAGTAGCGATTACCAACCTTTCTTACCACTGTGCCAAAAGTGGTCTCCCAAAAAGTCAGCCATGTGTAGTACACACACAAACCTGGACCTTATGATGTCACCAAGCAGCCTCACCAGGTGCCTTTGATTACGGAAACTCAGCACGAATTCCCCTGACACCAACTAAACCACCCCCACCACCACCACCATCATCTGTATCCCATTGCCTGCCTGAGCTGGGGGGGCTTCAGAAACAAGGGTTCTTTTACTCTCCTGAAAGCACAAGGCAGCGGCAACAAGACCATAAATCTCTTCCAGTCGTGCCAGAGGCTTCCCTTTCCACCACGCTATGGCATTGTTAGCGAACTCACACAGGCAGATATACTGGCTGCCTTGTCTGGGGCCAGCTTTGCTCAAGAAAGACCCATCACTGTGCATAAATATATCCCCATGGACTGGGGAAAGGGAAAAGAGCAAAAGAAAACAAAAGGTTAGATTTATCCTTCACCTAATTTCTCAGTTGTTTGCTCACTTCACTGAGCGTTACAGCAAATGAAAAGGCAGCTCTGCTTCCTGCTCAGTCAATTCTCGTCTTCATCTTGCAACTCCGTTGTCTCAATGGAAGGAGATTTAAGGTCTCCACACATTTTCCTAGCCATTGAACTAAACTGCTATTGTGAAAGGTCTTTGTACAAATCCATGTTTATTTCCTAAAGAGTCTGGGTCCAGAGTTGGGTGAGTGTGAAAAGGGGTATGGGTTATGGGGATAAGAGCACATTTACAAATTATGAGCCTAATCATTACCTCTAGGCTCTATATTCACTATAGAGTGCTTCCATGAACATAGGAACATGGCCAAGGTCCCAGAGTAGAGCCTTTGTTTCTCAGGGTGTGGTTCAACAGTCAAGTGACTGACACTAATCAGAGGAATAACCGGGTTGATTTTTGCTGGTGTTTCATAAATTATTCACTTATTAATAAACTGTTAAGTAGAAAAAAATAGCCTTGTCATTACTTTGAGTAAGAGATTTTAACAAACAGAACCCCATAAAGGAAAGGTAAAACTTTCATTACTGATCATAAAAGAATGACAAAAAATATTCAAGAGGTGAACTGATTTTTTAGAACAGCAGTGCACACCTACTTTAACACACAGGAAGAGTAGAGCTCACTGCGTGGGGGAGAGAAAATGATACACAGACAGGAATTCAACTGTTCTCTCTGAGTCCTTCAGTTCATGAAATGTCAACTGCTTTCACCTGTGTCTTTGGAATCTCTCCCATTGGGAAAGTGTATCAGCAGGCATGTTACATGAACACATGATAATGATATGTGTGCAGCTGAGGAATAGAGAGGTAGAATAAAGGCAGAATAAATTACCCAAAGGAACATGTTTTATTTAACAGAGGCAATCTATACAAATATTATTATCAAACCTGCACTGTACTGCTATGACGCGTTTAGTTATCAAGCACTCTGGTAACCAGGTGTTTTACGAGTTCTCAAGAAAAGAGGAAACAGGAAGTCATCATGAACCATGGCAACAAGCTGTTTACACTGATTTAGTTACACTTTGCTTTTATTGATCTCAGACAATTTCACACAAAAACCACTACTTGATAAATACTACTGACATGAGCTCAGAAGCACTGATTCTGAACAAGTCAGGAAGTATCAAGAGTTTTGTAAAGTATTTTTGTGATTTTTATCTCATGTTTTCACAGACAGACCTTTACTCAGAGGAAAGTTATAATATCTGTAATGTTTAATATATTTGGATAATAATTCTGCACTCTAAAAATTGTCAGTAATTACATTTTGCCCCAGCAAGAACACAGTCAATATGAGAAATCTCAAATGTGCCAGCTAGTCATTCTTTCCATTCTGCTACTACAGAGTTTCTTTCAATACCTTCTGGATGAAGAAAGCTTTATTACTGACGACTTCAGTAAGTGGAGTTGCCATCTGGCCCCATAGCTTCAAGACACTTTCTCACAATTCATATTTGAACTAATGTCTTTAACAAAAGATCCAGTAAAAATGATCACGGTTCTAAAAGGCATTCATATTTTTCTTCATTTTTCTACTTTTCTACAAAATTCAATTCACTTGGCTTCTTGCTGCAATCCCTGTAATTGCATGGTGGAAAATTAGAATTGCTTTGGAGTCCAGATGATTGCTGTTTAGAACCTACCTAGGGATGCCACACAACTCAGACTGATCACATCCAGGTAGTATTCAGACAACATAGCGCAGAAGAGTACAGAAAATTCTGAATCAAAAACACTGACTTGTCTCTCAAGTGGCTCAGCCAGGGTGCCTGCTCTGTAATCCAGGTGGTGTATGAAAAATCCACAGTGGATTGAATCAGGAATAACAAATTAATTGGCAATTCTATATTTATAAACTACAAAATTGTTTTGACTCACAACAGAAATAAACTCCCCCTAGATCTAGTGTCTAGACACAAAAATACCACCCTAAGAAACAGGATCAACTTAAGCAAAACAGGTACTATACAGTAAATCCCATTTTTGTGCAAGCTTTAGTTTGCTTAGTTTCCAGTTCCAGTCACTAGTCTTGTTTTACAAAGGGTATGCAAAGTAGCTGTTGACTTAATCAACTGCCATTTTGTCTTCTTTGTTATCAACCCCTTCAGCCATTTAGCTACAAACATGTCTACAACAGTAGGTTGAAAGAAGAAGGAGAACAGTGGATGTTCGCCAAATGTAACTAATGAGTATTGATTGGTATTTCCTCTCAAGCCGTGACAAGCCTCCTGACAGCATACGCCTCCGAAATTTAGACATCAGCACAACTGCACTTCCAGGTCTTGCCCAACCTCATGCAAGATGTGACTTCTTCAAAGGCCTGGTGGGAGAGAGGGTAAGCAGCACACTCCCTTCCTTCATTCCACCATCCTCTCTGCCTGTCTCGATAAAAGCCATTGAGACAATCCCCTTACGCCATCGTGCATTTGTTGTAATATTGTTACACTTTTACCATGATTTGTTATGTAGTTTCTTATGGGCAAGACGAGATGAGTATTCTGGTTTTAGAAGGATCCCTTTCTGGAACAAAAAAAGGTAAAAAGAAAAAGCTGATCTGTGTCTTCTCTTTCAGGAAAGGAGAATTTATGTTGAGATATTTTGCTGAATATCTCCCCCATTTACTATTGGAATATATCTGAACTGACACACAGGGACAATGCTGTGTTCCTATTAAGATTAACTACACTCTGCATTGCCTTTTAAAGTTATTCTAAAGAAAACCTTCATGAAGTAGCTCTAAGGCCAACTCCATAAATTCATTTTGCCACCTTTTAGTTTACCTGTAGCCTCTTACTACAGTCTCTAAGGATTTCATTTGTTCTGATAATCAATGCAATTTCACAAGGCAATGCTGTCTACTGTGAATGAATGCATATCTAGAAAATTAGGCAGGACATTGGACTGCTGTCAACATGAAGAGTAATGTGAGTTTGTTCATGCCAGAGGCACTTAAAAATGTTAGCAAATGAATCTAAATCATTTTAGAAGAACTTGAGATCTTGCCAAAATAATTTGTCAGGTAGTTCTCTCACATTAAAGCAGATCTTAACCTGAGAATGAATAACTGCCAGTGGCAGATGGGTGGCAATGAATGAGTGAATCTACACCTATATCCACACAGAGGCACACACATTTATTTATATATGTATAAATGACATCTCATTTAGTTGTCTTGCCTTTTCCTACAGCATCTCTTGGTAGGTTCAGTTGCTATATTTTCTGTATCTGTTTGTGGTCTGGAGTCCATAATGGAAAATACTTTTCTTGCAATCTCTCTGTCAGGATGCTTTTCTGTGTGAAGTCTGGTTACGGATACACAGTCATACGATTCCAATTTCCTTTCTTCAAGACGTGGTAACTTGCTCATTGTACTCTCGTCCTCTACTCTCTTTGTGTGTTTAAAAGAAATCTTGACAGTTCAGTCACTATTTTCTCACTGTTTCTCACTGTTGCTGCACAGAAACCCAGTAATCATGCTGCTCCCCCGACAAAGTGAACTAAAGGTATTTTAAAGGCACAGACAACTAATTGAGATTGGGTTTTTAAATGTCTTTCTTCCCAATAGCTTCAGCATTTTTGACTGCCAACAAATACAGTATGTTAAGCACAGTAGAAAATAGTGACTGAATTGAAATATAATTGCAACATGCAATAGCTAATGTGGTGCAGTTTTTTCGTACAGTGTACAATACATTTGGACAATGGCTTACATTGGGCTTTTTTAAGAAGAGTAGCTTGGAGATTAATTTCTTGCATAGAAGCACCCCAGTCAACTCTAAAGCTCACTAAAATGATGCTTTCTCTAATCAAAGAATTCCAGTAGCACAGGTCAACCTGCCTTCCTGACGGAAACAATAAAGTGAAGCGGTATTTTATTTAATTGCTTTATGCAACCTTCTTTATCTGTATCACCATTCTGTACTTTTGAACCAAGGAATTACTCATACAGATTGCAGGTGTGCTATATCCAGCAGTAAATTCTACCACCTTAAATGAATATTCCTCCATTTGTGCTTGTTTTTAATTCTCATCATTTCTGAATTAAGACAATTCATTATAAAAGACAATTAAAACTTTATTTTGAAGCTGTAAATAGCTTAGACAAGTAATTGTGGAATCTGTCATTGAAAACTACGTAAGTTACAAATAATACACGGTTCCAGATGACAAAACTGTGGGCCAGTCTATAGATGCTTCTCGTTTAGTACTTTTCAGTTTTGTTTAATTCAGTAAATAGGGTACAAAGAGTGAAAACGCAGAGAAGGGAACAAATGCAAGAACGACAAGAAAGTCAGTTGTATAATCAGTCAAGCGTTGTGTCAGGCGCTCCTTTCAAAGCCACAAAATGGATGACTAATCACTAAGCGGTCAAACCCAGGCTGGGTGTGGTCAGGGGAGACTTCGTGTTCGGTCCCTCGGTTGCCTAGACAACATGACTCACTTAAGAAGCTGGTCCAGTAAATACAGCTCGCCCCAGGCTGTGGTCAGAAACACTGCTGTTGCCCTTAGCAACTGGGCCAAACAATTTGCCAGCTGGGACCACAAAACTGTCTGCAAAAGGTATAGAAATTTCATTAATTCATTTAACCGTATCCAGTTTTAATAACACTGCACCTCATACTAAAATAAAGCCAATCCAAGTTAAGCAGCTCTTAATGTTAAAAACACACGAGCAACTGTCACACTGGGAACAGTTGATTCTAGCAAGATATTCCATTTCCAATACGACTCATGCTGGGTCTCAAAGCATGTGGTAATAAATATTATTCATTCTTCCATAGTTAATCACGTACAGGACGATTTTTTTTAGCCTGACACACATCCGCACTAGATCATGGTGTACTTGGTGTGCTGGATAATCCGGCACTCGGAGACAAGATTCCACACGCTGCTCAAAGGAAGGTCTGGAGAGAGTGTGGAGCCCTCTCTTTGCCACCTCTTGAGGATGTAATTATAGCTGGAGCACCGTGACTGCTATGCAAAGAATTTTCCTCCCTATCCAGGAGAATTTTCAACACGCACACCTACATGTGAGCACTTGGCAGATTCACTGGTATTTTGTTGTTATTTCGTGATATTCCTGCAAAATGCAAAAACTATAAACAATGGAATTATTCTTTAAATGTTCTACTGTATTAGCCTGCGCAAGAGGACAGTAGTCATTCTTAACTTGTGACCAACATGTACTTTGTTCCTATTATTATTATTAAATCTGTGGCTCCAGGAAGCTGCAGCCTGTGGCATTTTTGTGCCTGCTTGGTTAGGGAGAGGCCAGAGAGGGGTGTGGGCTTTTGAAGGAAGGAGGGGCTGGGGGAAATTCACCACATTCAGAACTCATAAAAACCCTCCATCTGGAGACAATGAATCAGCTACATTCCTTCCCCTATACAAACATGTGAAAAAAATTGGGCATTGCAGTTTGGCACAGACCGGTATGATTTTTTTTTCTGTTGAAAGAAAGAGCTTCTTTCTCTCCTGGGCAGGCTTTCACCACACAACTGGAGGACATTTTGCTCTATTAAGATTCCTCTCATTGGACTGCACCATTCAAAATGGTGTACACATCTGCACCCATTTTGTGATGGTAATGCCTTCAATTACTTGACCTTACCACAAGAGGACTCCTCTTCAAAGTGCTAAATCACCACCACTCAAGGAGGTTGAATATAAAACAGCATCCTGCTTCATAATAAAACATTTAGAAGATGTTAGAAAGAACTAGATACACACAAGGGTAGGTGAATTTAGCTGATTGGTGGCCTGGGACTGTCACAGAGGATGAATGTATTACACTCCAACCCTCCCAAAGCTACAGTACAGTCTCAAGAATATAGTTTTCTGGGGATTTGTGTTTACTAACATTACTGAAGAAACAAGTAAACATTTACAGTGTAACACATTTTAAGCAAACTGTAATGCAAAGGCATCTTTTTTGTTTAAATTAAAAGTGAAAATAATTGTGAACCACTCCTTGAAAACAATGCACATAACATTTTTGAGTCACAGGTCTGGTTTCTCTAGTTAAACATTCTCTGTTGTTTCTTGGTTTTCATATCCTAACAAGGAAATTACTCTTTCTTCAGCAACCTCGAGTGTCCTTTACTGCTTGTGCTAGATGAGAAGAAATCCAGATTTTAAATCTAATACAAATTAAAAAGTTACCCGAATATGATTTAACTGGATATTTATGATGAAAAATGTGTCAAGATTGTGCATTGGTTTGAAACAGTTTTGCTCAAACTCATTTCTCAGTCAAGCCAGAGATTAAGTAGCAAAGGAGCACCTAAGTGTATAAGGTTTCACTGTATTATTGCACCTTCTGTAACTGCAATTATGTTTGAGCTGGGCATCTCTCCATAAAACACTGTCCTGTTACAAGGTTTTCCTAAAAAATAACATTTCAAATAGACAAACATTCCGGAGGTGTAACACGGTTTCTTTAAAGAAATGGCTTCTAGAACCTAACCCCATACTGTGTACTAGCATGTATAGTGTATCCAAGTATATCAAGTCCCAGCGTAGACTTGATTTTTATTACCTTAGGCTTGATTCTTGGCTGCTTTACCTAACCTAGCAGTTGTTTTACATGTTTTGAGATTTGAGCACACCCTTCTTTCAAGAAACCACATGGATGAGATCCTTGGATCAATTAGTTACTAATGACCAAATGTGCTAGATGGGACACATGGTCTCCTCTCGTTTGTGACCTTTCCTCATTTTCTTAGACATTGGTTTTAAATATGGGCCACTGCATAACTTTGAGTCATTCAGTAAAAGTGAAGAAAGGCCTACTGGGCTATGAGCATTCCAGCTTGGGAAACACATTCATTTGGATACATCTCAGACACACAAGGATTGTTCTGACAGTCAGGGCTTAATACAGTGGACAATTTTGGACATCACTGCTGTGACAGCTTTTTGGAGTTCAAAACAGACAAGTCACAATTTTCACATTTGTGACACAACAGAAGACTTTAAACATTCTCTCAGTAATGTGTGTTTCGGTCAGCGTCATTTGTGCATTTGTGGCTCAGCATCGATTATAGTCCAATTGCAAAAGATAAAGCATAAAAAGAGGATTGTACAGAGTTTGAGTATGAACTATTGTATAAGCAGCTGCGACAGCAACAACCAAGTTTCTGTATTAAAGTCATAACCTGACATGACTAAGTAACTTAAAAAGGCACAAAATAAAATCCATAGAAAATCCATAAAAATGGTTGAAATACCTAGGGAAAAACATATCGTAGATTCCTAATAAGAGTGAGTAAAGGGAATGTTTCCGAGATCATTTTGTTCAACACTTCGCCTTTGCCTTATTTTCACTTTTTTTTTCTGCAAATTTGACCCACATGTACTGTTTGAAAAAGAGCTATAAGCAAAATCAAGAGAATCGTATGTATGTTAAGCCCATTACAGGGCTTATGGAGGCCCAGGAGTTTCCAGCTGACATTGGTCATGGTTATTCTTTTTCTTGTTTGTGCTTAAGAACAATTTAAAGGTTAATGGAAGATTTTTACTTTATAGTTTTTATCTCCTAGTGTAAATTAGAAACAAAATGAAACAAAAGCATTATAAGCCAAATGCACGACAGTGGCATTAATGAAGATGTGACACTGGGAAAATGAGGTGGAAAGAAGGTCTCACTGCAACAACAAATCAACTGAAGCCGATAAACAACTGGGCTGCTCAGTGGTGCGTTTGGCTCTCCTCCCTTCAGTGGATGAAGTATCTGCATCAGTGTTTTCAGCTCCAAAGCAGTAAATATTAGAGTGCCATCCCATTAAAACCATGCTCTGACCCCGTGAGAAACCCATTGCATTTCAATAGACCCTCTTTCATCCCTGCAGAGCCCCCACCCCACATCGGGAGAGAGAACATTTACAACTGGATCTGAAAAAGGTTGAGAAGCGCTGGAAACCTGAGCAAACAGCCATTCCCAAACTTGCTGGACAGTGAAAACAAAATATAGCTCACTCTTATTTTCTTTTGTGCTGTCTCAGGGTCCCTTTTAAGATGCTTTAAATCAGCCCTTCTTCCTTTTAAAGTTCTCTCCTTCAGTATGTTTCAGTAAATTGTTCCACATTATGTGCCACCAACAGTGACTTTTCTATTGGGTCAAAAGCTGCCATCCGTGGTTAACAATCTGCAAGAAGCCGAAATCTATATGCAAAATGCCACATTCTAGGCAGCTAGTAGCTCAATCTACAGCTAAATTAAAAAACATTTAAGTTGTCACAAACAATTATACTGCATTTTTGGGCCTCAGGCCCCATTACCTCCCCCACTCATTTTATGGAAACAACCTCTGAGAGTGCACTGACCGTATGAGGGAGCCACCAGGGGAACTCTAAAAGCCAAGCTATGATGCTGTAATGGGTAAAAATAATAATTGCTTACACTTATATAGCGCTTTTCTGGACACTCCACTCAAAGCGCTTTACAGGTAATGGGGACTCCCCTCCACCACCACCAATGTGCAGCCCCACCTGGATGATGCGACGGCAGCCATGGTGCGCCAGAACGCTCACCACATATCAGCTGTCAGTGGGGAGGAGAGCAGAGTAATGTAGCCAATTCATAGAGGGGGATTATTAGGAGGCCATGATTGGTAAGGGCCAATGGGAAATTTGGCCAGGACGCCGGGGTTACACCCCTACTCTTTTCGAGAAACACCCTGGGATTTTTAGAGTTTTTAGAGTCAGGACCTCGGTTTTACGTCTCATCCGAAGGACAGCGCCTGTTTATAGTATAGTGTCCCTGTCACTATACTGGGGCATTAGGACCCACATGGACCACAGGGTGAGCGCCCCCTTGTTGGCCCCACTAACACCTCTTCCAGCAGCAACCTTGGTTTTTCCCAGGAGGTCTCCCATCCAGGTACTGACCAGGCTCACACCCGCTTAGCTTCAGTGGGTTGCCAGTTGTGAGTTGCAGGGTGATATGGCTGCTGGCAACAGGACAGTTCACTTCCTTTATCTGCCCGAGAGCTGAAGCTGATCACATGTGTCTGCTTTTCACTACCTTGGAAGGTGTTGTGAAATCCACAACTCTTCCCAGGCTAAACCACACAACCAGAGGAAGGATAAAAGGAAGCAGTAAAGGTATAAGGCTGGTTAATCTAACGTACGTATACCAGTGATTTCCCTCCTAGGTTCAAGAAGCTGTACTGTAGATCTGTGTTCATTCTGATCCCTACTAAACACCAGATTTTGTATGTAGTATTCCTGCTCCAACATTCTAGTATTCTTCACTTAGCATTTATTTAATAACTGCAAGTAAGTAATACAGCACTTTATTTTTTCTTTATTTTTTATTTTATTTCTTTTAGGTGCAAACTGTAGGAGAAGGTTGTATAATAAATGCTGCTTGTGGATGTCTCCCTGCCGGTAGTTTGTTTGCACGTTGGTCAGTTTTCAACAGTGGAAAGCTATTTCAATTATTAAGGAAGACTTTTACCATGACTGTTTTCTCTTGTTTGCATTTATTCTTCTTTTGAAGTGACAACCTTGATTGGACATGAATGCTTGTCTAAAAAGGAGACATTTATT